TTTGACAATATTCGTTGACAAATACCATCCAACAAAACTGACATCTGACTGTGAAAGTTCTTTCAAATCAGACGATATTAAAACTATCTGCGTTCAAAAAATGTAAACCAATATTTCATTGTCGACCAAAAATTCTGCTCTTGGTGTCATTGACAGTTGTATAAAAATCTTAAGAGACTTAAACCAACCACAAGGTGGTGAGGTAGATGAAATGTCATATGACGACAAGTATAGACACTTCTCCATGGCAAAGATGAGACAAGTTTTAAATATTTACAATAACCGTAAACAAAAAGGTTTGGGAAACCACTCCCCCGAAGAAATGAAAAACAACCCTGACTTAGAGAAAGTATATATTTAATAGTTTAGTTAAGAGGGATAGACAAGAAAGAATGCCAGGCTTCAAACTTAAGAAAGGTGACAAAGTAAAAATAGAAATACCTAAACGCGACCCATATGAAAATACTATTGACTATGACAACAATGGGAACCCGACAGGTACTCACATTCGTGTTCGTAAAAATAGAAGAAAGTATACAAGAGAATATTATGAAGTTTTAGGCAAACATGGCAAAATGTACAGACTGCAAGCAGAAGATAAAACTACTATTGTCAGACCTCGTTTCAAACTTGTCAAAGTTCAAGGTGGTATACTTTCAAAGACAGTTCCTAACAAATATAAGACAACTCCTGACGAATATGCTAAAGAAGTGGAACATGACGACTAAGCAATTCTATACCATGCGTAAACTGTCATGTAAGGTGGCATGTAGTCTTTACTTTGTCCCGTTGTTTGCGTATACCCTGAAACGCGATGTGTATGGTTTCCTTCTCCCTGTGTGCTACCCCAGAAACAATTTATAGCAAACTGAACGTTGTCTTTAACATCATATCCTTTACCTTTTTTCATTGCTGACCAATCCCAAAATCTCTGCTTATGCCAACCTGCTTCAGATGTACTTAAATTTATGTAGTGACTGTGCGCAGGTAAATTTTCACCTGAAATCGTTTTACTTCCACCTGTTTCCTTTGAAGAGTTTGCACAATACAAAAACCTGTCGACTATTTGAGTCCAAGTTCCAAAACCAAGTACTACTTCTGGTCTGGTAGAGTTCATTGACGTGTAAATAGAACCTATAGGATATAGTGTTTGAAGTATTTCTGTCTTTAACGTTTGAAGCTCTGTTTTGTCAGCTTTTTTATCATATAAATCTTGAGCAGTGAATTTAACATTGTTTTCATCCTTCATGACATAGACATTTCTACATCTAATGTATCTCATCGTTGTTATGTCATCCTCCGATGTTAAACCTTGTGGAAAGTTAGGAGGTTTCCAATTTAATACATCCCCACCAGTTTCTTCAACCGTTCCTTCAATATTTTCTATACCAATTGCGAAGAAATCGTGTGTATGGTTCTTATCTGCCTTCTTTTCAAGGCTAACGTTTAAGTCTGTTATTTCAGAAGATGTATGTGTATGTCCAACGGCACTTTTACTGTTTAAGGTTTCTTGTAAGTTTGTTATATTTGCAATGGTATGTGTATGTCCAACGGCACTTTTACTGTTTAAGGTTTCTTGTAAGTTTGTTATATTTGCAATGGTATGTGTATGTCCAACGGCACTTTTACTGTTTAAGGTTTCTTGTAAGTTTGTTATATTTGCAATGGTATGTGTATGTCCAACGGCACTTTTACTGTTTAAGGTTTCTTGTAAGTTTGCAATATTTGCAATGGTATGTGTATGAGTCTTTTTAGAATATTCGTTTTCAGCTCTTGTCACTTCACTTGACATTTTATTGTCAACATATGTTTTGTCTGCTAGTTCAGGATGAGTATGTTCTTTTGTTGCATATGTTGCATCTGCTCTGTCATGTTCTTCTTGAACTTTTTCAATGACATACTCTTTGTCAGCTTTGTTGTCAACATCTGCTTTCAAAAGAAGTTCATCTATAGGTTTCTCGTTTAAAGTTCCTTTTGTTGGATTTATACAAACAGTATGGTTCTTACTGTCTTGAAACAGAAACTCGTCTGTCAATGGGTTTATCGTCAGTTTTAAGTTTCCTTCTTTCAATGACTCAGATATCTTAGAATAGTTTGAAAAGTTTGTTGTGTTCTTATTTAGAGCTTGCAAAAAGAGTTGTCGGTTGTGTTGTATTTCTCTCATAGACGCTGTTTCTTTCGACATTTTTATTCTAGATAAAAAATGCTTCCAATAGAAAAAGAAAATTCAAGAGTTGCTACAACTAAACCATTAGATGAACTTTTTACGAATGTCGGTCAAAAGTTTGAGACAGAGACCGTAAAGCATGAAGGCTATCGTTTTGACTACCCGTTAAGATGGTTAAGAGACCCATCCGTCACAAAAGCTATTGGCTTTCGTAGAATGAAGTTCATTTCAGAAGCCATACATGGTTTCCCATTTACGGTCGCTTTTGAAGTTCGATACTATAACAAAGAAAAACGTACGTATGAGAAATTTGAACAGGGAAAACTTTTACAAGTGAATTTGCTTGTAAACTTAGAAACAACTCTTCAAGCTTTTCAAGAAAAAATAAACGATATCTATCTCGAATATGCAAACCAGTACAACATTGACGAAGGAGAGTACCATCTCGATATTGTTTATGACAGGAAAAATGCAACTGTTAAATTCAATAGAATAGAAGACCTTGGAGAAGACGTTTATATTTCTACAAAATATAACAACTTGGCATGGTATAGATTTTTGAGGATGTTAAATCAGCCTGCAGAATATCCAGTACACCCGAACTTTTATGAAGTCGAAAACCCTAATGGAACATATGAAAATGTTTTCGACTCAGATGCTATTATAGTTCATGCTTCATTTTCTGGTGCACAAAACTCTTTTTTATGCTTGGCAAATGACTTTTACGAAAAACCTACAAAGCTATATGAACCACCGAGTGGAAGTATTTCAGACTTTCAAGTATGGTTTACAACAGATGGAAGAAAGAGAATAGTTCCATTATACCATGCGTTTTACTTAGAACTTAGTCTCATATACAACTACTATCGAACGGTAAAAATATAATTTTAATACGGTTGAGGTGTTGGATTTGGTTGCCAACTAGACTGTGGTGCAGGTTCAGGCTGTTGTATAACAGGAGCTTGTTCTTCTGGTTCAGGGTCTTTAGGTATAATACCAACAAACTGATCTACTCTTTTACCAATATTTTTGACTCCGTTCCAAATTCCTCTTCCTACGGTTTTTATTCCATTCCATATACCTCTTCCAACATTTCGAAAGAAGTTTCCTATTCTTCCAAAGAAACCCATTTTACTATATGTAAAAATCTAATGTCCACCTAGTCTCTTACGTTTCCTTCTGAGTTCCATTGCATTCTTTAACTGGAGCTCATACATTCTATTTCTCCTCTGGTAGAAAACATACTCTGGGTCAACTCCTGTGTTCGCGTCATCTGCATAGAGTTGTTTATATCCCACTTCAGGGTTTGTATAAAACTCTTTCCATCTCATATTTGCATACCATGGTGGCAAACCTAACGCAGCGTCATTTGACATGGCAGTTTGCATTTGTACATCTGTTGGCACTTGACCATAGTTTGCCATTGCAGTTTGTATTCTAACTTCATTTGGAATATTCTCTGGGTTTGGTTGTCCAGGTTGCTGTGCATTCGCTAAGTTCTGTGCGTCCATTTAATATTAGATAAAAATATCTCTTACGAGTACATATGCTGAACATTTGCAGGCAGTGGTTCATCTTCATATTCTCTATATCTTTCTGCCACGTCAAATAAGTAAATGACACAATGGAAAAAACCTAAAACAAGTAGTCCTATTTCAAACCACATTTACTTACCAATAAAATTTCTTTGTTATGACACTTTCTCCGGTTTATAGGACCTCTCTCATATTCTATCTTATCGTATCTAAAATCATAGTCATGTATATCCTCTAACCATCTCATGACACTTTCCAAACCACTTTTATCGGATGTAAAGTAAAAGCATGGATGGTTATGTAAAACGTCTAAAGTTTCTAAAGAGTCTCTCAAAGTCCAGTCTGCTTGGTATTGAAAATCATATGTGTTATAGAACGGTGGGTCTACTATAAAGAAAACATTTTCCTTGTTTTTATATTTTTCATACAACTCTGTCCAACGACATCTCACAAACTCTATACCCTCAGTATATTTTTCTATGTTCTCTTTGAAAACCTTTGTATAGTTAAGATATAAAACGTTTGACATAAGTGTTTCAATGTCATGAACTCTTATAGAACCACTATATAATAGTCTAGAAGATATACTATCCCAGTCAATATACTCTGCTTTTTTCAAAACCTCTCTGACAGTATTTTTCTTATCTAATGGTATACGTTCCATCTTACCTATAGGTATCTTTTCTTTTAACTCTTTCAATATTTTGTTTGTGTCTGGTATATGTTTGAGACGGTTCATATAGTTGTCGAAGTCATTGCATATAATCTTTGAGTCAGGAAATACAGTATGGCACAAATGAGATATATAGAAACTTCCACCGAACAAATCTACAAATGTTAGACCATTCGGTAGTTTCTTAAGTTCTCTCAATAGAATATCTTTACATCTACTCTTATTTCCAAAGAAGGGTAACGGTGGTTTTGTAAAATTCATTTTATATATAATAAAAATGTTTTTACCCTGAAAAGTGACAGAAAAGTGACAAAAACATGAAAACTACTCGGTTAAGGTCTTGTCGGTTTTGTAAAATAACCATCCTATCTTGTTAAGACTTCCTGGACTGTTGTCAAAATGTCATGTTGTCACACTTTTTCAGAGAAGTTCGTTTAACCGAGGGACCGAGGGACCTGGTGTTATACTAAACATCTTCAGGGGGCTAGAGGGGCGCAGCCCTGGAAGCCCCAGTACCTTTTTTTTTTTTTTTTTTTTTTTTAATTATGAAAATATTGTTTACAATGGAGAATCGTATATACATTAGTTAAACGTAAAATAATTCAATGCAATTTCATATCACTTTATGTTCGCATTTTTATTGATCAATATTTGGTCTGCAGACATATCTATTGAAGGATGCACATACCAAAATTCATTCACGGTAGGAATGGGGTCACACTTAACACGTACAGTTTCGAAAGGCACTGTTTTATGCATAGAAGGGTCAGTATTAATAAAATCCGATAACCCATTTGTCGCTACATATAAAATCATTGAAAAAGATCGTCAAGGAACGAAAATTATTATTAAAACAGGAACAAAAGAAAATCCTTTTTTATTTGGAGCCAAAATGAAAGAAAATGAAATGAAGATTGAAGCAATGGATCCTTCACAAGATTTGAAATTAGAAATTGTTGGTATTAGAACATCAGATCCCAATCTATTAAGATCATATAGCATTTTTACGACAATGAAATCATTCAATAAAGTCATTGAAATAACACCAAAAAGAGCATTAGATGTATTCACGTGGAATCAATATCCACTAAATTTCTCTGTGAACCCTCGAATGGTATATAAAGAGTTCTCTAATCTAACTAGTTTTTCTCAAAGTTTTTCTCAACCAACGAGTTTCAAATATTGGCTTGGTTTAACCACACGTTTTGAGCCAATTGCGGAGAAAGTTAATGTTGTATGGGAAGAAGATACTACTGAACAACCAATTTCCGGTTTCAAAAATCCATTTGGTGAAGATGTATTATATTTTCTCCCAAATGAAGATGCATTCACACTTGAAGAAGTTATCAAATAAACTGAAGAAAATAAAAAAATATTCCTAGAAGGAGGCAGTATTGAAGAAGAAGTGTATCCAGAAGGATGCGAGAGACCAATAGGTTTTTATGATAAGCCATATGAGAAGGATTTAAACATCAAACCAGGCAAATCAAATTGCACGCTAGGAAGCTTCGTTTTCGCATCAAAGGGAAAATTCAAAGTTACCGTCTATGACAGATCTTCAAAGAATGACAAAGGTAAAACATATGAAAATCCATTTAGTGTAGCTGGATCCCAGTACGTTAGTGTTATTCAATGCGCTGACACTTCAAAAGAATGCAAAGTTCAAGTTGCTACAATAACAGAGCCAATTCATACTGATTCTGTAACTAATCATTCATTTTTCACAACAAAGAATGCATTCGAGTTTGATCAAAATGTAGTTTATACCAAAGATAAAACAATCACATTCGGTTTAGTAGCAAATACACCAGAGAACAAAAAAATTGAAGGAACTGGAAATAATAACGTCAATCTATCTCTAATTAATAGTTACTTCGCAACAGGGAAAGGAAAACTAGATGGCGAAGTGATAGTTGCAACCCCTGATTTCCAAAAAGATAAATATGTTGATGAGACAAAAATCCATGTTACCATTAAACGTGAAAAATTTTCACAAGAATATGGAAAATCATATTTTGAAAAGAATATTATCTACGAAATTCCACCTGGTGTCAAATCAGAAGATGAAGTAAAATCTTATTCAGCAAATAGCGAAGTAACCTTTGTTAAGGAAAACAATCAAAACGATGACTCTAAATCAAATGGCGACTCTAAATCAAATGGTCTAGGTGGTGGAGCAATAGTAGGCATTGTAATTGGAGTTATCGCATTCATAGTAATTGTCTGCGTTCTTGTCTGGTTCTTCGTATTTAGGAAGAAATCAAATGAATCTGGCTCCGGAGAAAAAGTGTAGTCAGACTTCTAAACTAGTTTTTTTTTAAGGGTGCCCTATAGACGATAGCCCCCTCAGAAAAAATAACCTTAAATAAAACCAATGCTTTTCGAGACCTATTTTGGTACCTCCAAAAACATTTTTCTCGGCAAAAAATCAAGTTGATGTATTTTGTTTTGTCATCGTAGATACTCTAATTTTCGCCCAGTAATGTTATATAAAAGGAGCTTTTTTGTCGAAATGCAAAACAAAATTGGCCGTTAATGTGGTGAATTATCGATTTTTGGTACAGCATACTTTCTTATCAATGAATAAATGCAGCTACTTGATAAAAGAGTCTTCAAAAGCAACTTTTGAAAAAAAATATTCCTTATTTACATCAAGAGCCGAATACTTTTACGATGAATATTAATAAAATTTGTCGGTATTTATTCTTACAGATTATCAGATCACAAAAGCCAAAAATTGTTTATTATTTTTTTTCAGAATAAAAATTTCGAATGTATCAATTATATCAAATACATACATTTTATTCATACATTACAAATGAAAGATTTAATTTTTGAAAAACCTAAATTTTTTCGAAAATCAAATATTTTGGTGTATTATATGCGCCTTTGTTTAAATTATTCGCCAATTCCTCATCACGAATGTAAGATATTTTGGTATTACAAAAGAGAATCCATGAATTGATGTTTTCGTCCAAAATATAATATTATATTGTCGACTGTGATAAGTTATTATGGCTACTAGTTTGGATTTTACAGCTGGATTGTTATTCCATGTGTAATCATCCAATGGAAACGTAAAACCAGCAACATCAATAAAAAGATAATCTGAAAAAGTAGGAGTAACTTGAAGTTCGTTATTATTAACAAGAGGAATGTCAATTTTATCTGTAAATCCCCAGCAGAATTTTTTGAAATAATCAATAAGATCTAGTTGCCTAGCTTCACATGCAAGCGATTCTTGTAATTGTTTGAAAGCATCAATTGGATCAGCTTGATGTATCTTTTGCCGTTCGAGTACAGGTGATACAGATAAGTAACATCTGCATTTTCCGAAAAGTTCCGATTTGTGAGCGATAATATTTCTTTGTATATTAACTGTTGCTCATTGGGATTAGAGAATAATTCGTCAAATAGTTTGTGCATTAATGGTCGAAATGTAATAAGTTGAACAATAACGGCAAGAAAACTGAGATTTTTTCCAAGCTTGATACCAAGCTTTTGTTTTTTAGGCTTATCATGAGTTTTTGAGTGTCTGTGGAAGTTGTATCAAATCAGGATGAAAATCTGCTATCATTTCAAGAGATGGTGGATTGTGGCTGAGGACGTTAAGATAATTGATTGCGTTTATCTTAATTTTCTCAAAGTTATGAAAATCAGTAAAAGCTGAATTCATAATTTCTTTTGCTTGCTGAGAATCGTAAACTGCAACAGCCGAGATGTTTTCTTCATTAATACGAATTAAAGACGAGTACGTATTATAAAGATCTTGTTTAAATTTGGATAATAAATTTTGGAATTCTTGAGGATCATCTGGAATTTCCTTCGCCTTGAAGAAAAATGAAAACCTTTTCCAATCTGGTGGTACTTTGATATCGGAACCAAATATAGATTTTTTGTTGAATTTTGGATAATCTGTTGGAAGTGAAAGATTTTCAGATTCTGACGGTTCTTCATCCGCTGGCGGATCCTCATCGTCAGTGTATTCAATTTTTTCGGATCTGGATCCATCTTTTGACGGTTTATGAGGAACTAAGTCAGCGAATTCTGGGTCAATTTCATCTGGAATGTAATGAACGCATCTGTTATGATTTCTGTAGTTTTCCGAAGTTCTTCTGATATGGTCATAATCGGATTTATTTTCGAAATTTAATATAACTTGTAAAATATCTTCATCAAAATAAGAATCATCTATACCCATTAATCTTCTTAGTTTTGTCTTCCAATTGTCTTCATTATACGCAAATACAGAAACAAAAATTCTGGCTGGAAATCCAATAATCCAACGAAGATTTTTTGGGACTAAATGGGCTTTCAATGAATTGAAAGCTTCGTTGAAATTTGTATGATATTGTTTGCTGATTCTTAGAAACAATGGAGCAATATTTGTAATAATTTCTCTTTTTTCGATATGCTCTGGTGATTCTCCTGGATATCTATTAATTAATCCCATCCATCTCTGAACCTTTTGCTCTGGTTTTAATGTTGGGCATGCAAAAAGGATCCTAAATATTTTTTCAAATTTAGGATATTTAGTGACAATTTTTGAAAATGCTGATTTTATCACATGATTTGGATCTCTTACATGTGATAATTGTGCACCAGAATTCTCTATCATTGTTGAATCTTTAACATCACCATCTGAACAAAAAACTTTTATTTTTTTCCATAAATCAGATTTCAACATATCACGTAATGCATAGCTTTCCATTAATCCTGGTGAAATTTTTGGTTCAACCAAAATTTTGGGACTTTTGAATTTTATTAATTCTGGATGCCTTGAAACTATTCTAAAATCTAATATTTTGTTTGTATTTATATCTATAAGCGTAATGACGGCATGTAAAGCATCGCGCTTAGAACTCCATGCGCAATCTAATGAAACATTAAATTTGTATTCTGAATCATGTTTAAGAATTTCTTGTATATTAGCTTCACAACTTGCTGTTGCAACTTTCTCAAGATCTGGCAATATGCTCTTTAGATGCGCAAGTAATGTAGTTTCTGTTGGGCAATGAAAGTTTAGGAGTGATGCCAATTCGATGTGTTTTGAAAATCCTGCACCAGATATAAGAGAAATGTAAGTATGAAGATTCTTGACAACGTCACTATACGGAACTCCAGGCTTAAATTTGACGTTGAATATTGTTTCTTCCTTAACATTTGATTGTGAATGATCTTGTTTTGAATTAAGCTGGTTTAGATTAATGAAATGCGAAAAAGGTTTCTTATTTGAATAAACAGTTCGATGATAGACCCTTTTTGGCAGTCATCAGCTTTATATGTTATTAATATATCTTCAATTGTGTATCCTTCCATGATTGGAATAGAATACTCCATAGGAAGAGCTAAAATCCCGCCAAATTTTACGGTTTTTTTAATACAAAAGTAATCAAAGTGAATAAAGCAAAGATATATATTGTATTTAATCAGTCAATTGATATTGGGTAGAATATATGCTCAATATTTCATTTTTCAAATTTATTATTTCAAAAAACCAATAATTGGCGACATTGTTTACTGTAATAATTGTTTTAAATGAAAACACTATATGCCTTCCTTATTTTCTTTCTTTTTTATTTTTTTGAAAAAATCAAAAAAACTCGAAATAAAATCAAAAAATCACAAAATCGATGAATTCTCAACGTAATTTAAATCTTCAAAATCGTAGAGATTGGTCATAATATAACTAAGCATTATGATATGGTAAAGTTCAAAAAATCTCTCTCTTGAACGAGATAAAAGCTTAACAGAAATAACCTTAAAAGTGCTTTTCTGAGGGTGGTCTATCGTCTATAGGGCACCCTTAATATATTTTTGATAGATATATCTTTTGCATTGAATGCTTTTGGAGGTTAATTATTTAGTTATTACAAATAAAAAACGAAGACCTGTCTGTGTATGTGCGCCATACTTCTTTTAAAATATCGTTTTTGTAATAATTATGAATTATTTTATATTTTACAATTCTACTATTTATTAACCTTTGATACAGATCATGCACAAATCATATGAGTTATAGGGTGCTTAGAACCGATTTTAAAAAATTTAACAAAAATATTATAACATCTGTAGCGCAAAAGTGAAAAGTTATATAAGGTATCTTACTAAGAGTTTTCGTCGGCGAATGTTTGTGAATTTTTTTCAAATTCCAACATGTGAGCCTTTAACAAGGAATTCGTAGAATTTGACATAAAAGATTAATTCACATAAAAAAGTGACAATTCAATGGGAAAGAGCTTCAAAGATATCATACTTGCTCCATTTGCAGAAGACCGATTCTTTGTTCCAGAGTTAGAAATTCCAATTTCAACCATTAAAATCCCATCAATGACAATTTGCATGTTAATCGTATTCTCATCTTTCATGGTCATTTCAGCCGGTACAATTTTCTGCTGGGTCCATAACTCACCATTTATTGGTGGTCAATATGATCAAAATGGCAAGATCAGAACCCTCGTTTTTTCTGAAGGTATGTCTTGGCAATTTGGTGCTGAAGGTTTTCTGGCAAGCATGGTATACGTTATGACAGCATTTTCCTTCTTAGCATCATATTACGTTTTCAAGCATCAAAATGATAATCCAAACGATCCAACAATTATTGCGGCAAAAGTTTTTGGATATACTTCTCCTGTTTGGATCATTTTAATGATTATGACATTCAGAAGTAAACTCCGCCAGTATTTCCCAACGCCATTCCCACAATAATCATTTCACTTCTTTATTTATTACGATACAATGATAATTGTATACATATTCGTATTTTTTAATGTTGGGTACTAAAAACTTTGCATATCTCTACAAAATAACCTACACATCTTAATATAAAATCTAATATTAATTTTTGAGCATTATTTATATCAAAAAGTATCTAATTTATTGAAAGAGTTATGAACACGAGCTGCTATATAGCATAATATTTCGATTTAAAATTATATTATCTGTAAATAATGAACATAGATATTTTAATCAAGTTAATTGATTACCATAAGTTCAAATTATTTAGCTATTATTCATTTGAAATAAAAGCAACAAATAAGCCTGAAACCTCATATCAGTATTATGAACCGGCAAGTTGTGATTCAATTCAAACCAATGATTGTTTTGATATAAGCATAGTGTTAGTATGTGATCAATCGAACAAAAGATTTTATTTTTAATCCTTGATCCTAATGGATTAAAGATTTGAGAAAAATCATGTTTAATAAAAATAATGTTTTCTATGATAAAATTGATATTCCAATATTTTTTACTCATTTCCGTTATTTTATTTTTGAGGAATGGATAGTTTTATAGAGGATATCATTCCTCCAACAGCTGTATCTCAGATGAATCAATTGGGACAAAGTATTGATATCTTTCAGTCTTCAATGAAACAAATTTTAAATTTTCAAAATATGTTGTACCAAGGAATTAAAGCATTAACAACAAAATTCGCGCAAATTAAAAACGAAGTTAACTTCTTAAATAATCAGTTATTAAATGTTGATGATGCCGTTCAAAATTATTTATCTAGAAATCCTATTACAGTTTATACACAGGATGGACAAAAAATGGATGATGCTCTTGGTGATATAGATGATAGAATACAATCTGTTCTATCCAGAATCTCAAGAATGGAGCAAAAACACGAAAAATTCGAAGATTTTATGACAGGTTCCTTAAAACCAGAAGAAATTAAGGATCTCAAAGTAGAAATCAAGCAAGCAAGTAAAATGTCAAATGATACTACTGAAGCAATTCAAGCAATCCATCAAAAGATTCAAGATAACGCAAAAAATGCAGATGATAAAATCAATGCATTCAAAGAATATATTTCTAAACAAAACGAAGTTACTGAAGAAAGAATGGCCACAAAAGTCGATAAAGAAGAAATGAATAATTATATTTCAACGTCAAACATTGCCGAACTTATAATGATGTTCAAGAGTATGCCACAGAGCAAGCAAGTTCGCATACCTGATATCATTCCTCAAGTATTTTCTGAAAGCAAATTATCAAATGACGAAAAAGTGCAGCGCTGCTTCGAATTGCTGAACATCGAACGTAACAGAGTTAACAAGGAGCAGGCAGAGATCATCAATGAGTTCTCACAACTTAAGCGTCTCGCAAGTTCTGTCGTTGATGACGATGACAACGCAGCTTTATCCCCAGAAAACTATGAGCGTGTTGAAGTTAGAGACATTGGATGTGATAGTGGTGTTACAGAAGCTTCGGAACCCAAAGCAACCCTCATTCTTAGGAAATACAAGAAAAGAACTGTTGCAACCAATTTTGATGGACCACAAAACTGTGATAGTACATGCGAAAAGAACAAAGACGAGTTGATTGAAGTAATGGACGAGAATATAAAGAACGCACCATCATCATCTGCAATAGATACTGCTGCTTTAACTGCCAAAGTTTTGGAAGATGTCGAAGGAGAAATAACTGAAAAATTAACAGCTGCATTAACAGGAATTGGTTCGAATTTGCAACGTGGCGATATCATTACTATACTCGATGGACTCAAAAACATGGAAGATATCAAGAAAGACATCGGAAAGATCAAACTTAACCTCGAAATGAAAGTTGATAAATCAATTGCAAAGCAAGAGTTTGATTCATATGTTAGAAGGGATGAATTCTTTTCTTACATGGAAACAGGAAATCTCAGACCACACGCTTATGCAACAACTACAAGAGAACCTCCTGTTAGATCTACATCGAGATCTGGAGCATCAAGCAAAACTGTTGTTACTCCAAGAAAGAAGACACAATCAGACTTGAAAGGTCCTCTTCCTCTTGTCCCAGCAAGGAACTCTAAAATGTTGGGAGTTAATGATAAATACGCTGTTGGTGATGATGGTAAAATGTATTTCAAAGAACTTGGAGAAACTTTGCCTGCAACTCTTACGAATAGATCAGCAAAAACTTCTTATTACGAAAGAAGTAAGTCAATGATGGAAAACGAGAATGGAATAGAAACTGTTTTAGACTTCCAGCCTTTTGTTCCTTTGGATAGTCAGAAGAATAATAGTCCAAAGGATTAATTTTATTTTTATTTTATGTTTTTATATATTAAAATGTTTGCTTATTTAATTTTTACTCTAGGGAAATTTCCATAAAGTATCGAATAATATTTTATGGAATCTCACTTGATATAATGAGAATTTTTCATCAATGAAAATTTGAATGCATTTTTTGACTTTGTCATGTAATTCAAAATAAATTTAGAATAATATAGTTTAATCAAAATGACAATGTTTTTATTAGTTAATTGTATTAGATCATCGTCTAGTGATCAGGTTAATTACTCAATGATAAATTACATACAATCTTCCTTTAAAGATAACCAAGATATGTTAAAGTTATATGAATACGTCGAAGATAACGTTTACGAGCATCAAAATTCTTCAACAAACTACATCAGTACATCAATTCTTCCATTTCCAATGGATATTATTGATGTTCAAAAATGGAACGAATTATACGATTATTGTAACGAAACATATGCTGCTCTATTTAAATTTTGCATGGATAAAGGCTACACGCCATATTATAGGATTTATAGAAATGATGACTCTACATTTTATTATCCAAATACAAATTATTATTTTAAAAAGCCGGTTGTCAACAATGGGTTGATTGATTACAGAAGATATTCAGAGAACGACAAAATTTTTGCGGACTACATTCTGTTTGAGCGTGATTTGGAAAACATTAGTACGTTTCCCATTGATGATGAAACCAAAGAAGGATATGGTTATATAAATTTCACAAACTATTATAAATGGGCTAAAATTGCCATTGATAGAGAATATGATGAGCAGAAATATATAGATTATTTCACACTTGACGACTTTCCTCTGAATCGACTTAGAAAGTTATTAATGCTTTTGCTCAATGATTTACCTGAATTATATCGAAGGCAGATCGATGGAAAAGAAAATATAAAGCGTTGGATTGAATACAATCAGATTTTACGAAAATATTGTACAATATTGATCAAAAAGTGTGAAGAAAGTCAAAGAGTATCATTGTCGCTGTAGAATGTCCCTACAAGGATAAAAGATTTATTTGTTAGTAAAAATTATGAAGAATCTTCAGAAGATTGCCTATTTTTTCAAAAAATATAATTGAAAATAAGCTTTATTGGGTTTCGATTCGTTTGGTTTCAATTTAGCACGTTATTCCTCCTCAGAAATTTTCAATTGATTTTTTGACTTTGAGCGTCAATTTTTTAAAAAATGAGTTTTCTTATAACAATGATTTGCTGGATGCCTTCATATGAAGACCCTAAAGAAAGTATAGTGGTTAAATACATTAATTCAACATTCAATAATACTAAAGATATGTTAATAGTGTTTAATTATGCTATTGATAATATCTATGACCACCATCTAGATGATGGAATTTGGAGACCACCTTTAAAAGATATATTTTTTGTTCAAAAATGGAATGAAATGTACAACTATTGCGATTTAAACTTTTCTACATTAGACAAATTTGCAAATATTACTCATCAAACTCATTCAACTATTTTTGGTGATCCTGATTACCGTAGTTCTAGGTACTATGGATATGACCCAATAAATGAAAATAAAAAGAAATGGAGTAAAATTGTGATTAATACATATTATTCCGAACAAGAATATATTGACTATTTCAGTTTGAATGACTATCAACTTAATGGTTTAAGATCTATTTTAGTGGATTTAATCAAAGATTTGCCTAATTTATATCGTCGAAAAATAGATGAAAGAGAAGATACTGATCAATTGATTGAGTGCAATCATTTACTCCAAAAATATTGCTTACAGTTGATAGAACGCTGTCAGCAATACGTGGAACAAATTAATACAACAAATGTATCATTATCATTTTAAAATTATTTGTATTTTGAATTATAAAAACATGATTATTGTGTAATTGCTTTAGCTATTTTTCCTTTTCCTTAGATGCTAAGCATTGCAATGTTACCATTTGAATAAAAAATAATCGTACACAAGAGAAACTAAATTTTAATGTATTTTTTGACTTTGTCATGTAATTCAAAATAAATTTAGAATAATATAGTTTAATCAAAATGACAATGTTTTTATTAGTTAATTGTATTAGATCATCGTCTAGTGATCAGGTTAATTACTCAATGATAAATTACATACAATCTTCCTTTAAAGATAACCAAGATATGTTAAAGTTATATGAATATGTCGAAGATAACGTTTACGAGCATCAAAATTCTTCAACAGACTATATAAGTACCTCGGATCTCCCATTTCCAATGGATATCATTGATGTTGAAAAATGGAACAAATTATACAATTACCGTGATGATAAATATGTCGCATTATTTAAATTTTGTATTGATAAAGGCTATCCACCATATATTTATGGTCTTTTAACATCAACAAGTCAATCTTATTTTTCTCGTCCGGTAAAAATAGAAAATGGATTAATTAACTATGGGGTAGATAACCCACATCAAATATGGACTGAGCGAATCATTTTTAAAGAGGATGCTGATCGGATAAATTCTTATCATGTAGATTATGTTAATAGTTTCATTGATAGATTAAGCAAATGGAATAAAATTGCAATTAAGAGAGAGTTTAAGGAGCAAATGTACATTGATCACTTCATTGAACGGGACCTTGCTCTGAATCGTTTAAGAAGTTTGTTAAAATCTTTAGTCAAAGATTCACTTGAGTTGTATCGTCGTCAAATTGATGAAAAAGAAAGCACTGAACGTTTGATTCAATACAATCATTTGCTACAAAAATATTGCCTTCAGTTAATTGAACATTGTCAACAATACTTGGAGCCAAAGATCAAAAGTCAAAAAGTACCAATATCTTTTTAAAATTAACCATAATATGCGGAAATTTTATAAAATAAACCTTTTTATTGACATTATTCTACTAAATCTACCTTTCATAAAACAAATGTCAAGAAAACTCATTCCAAAATTAAAAAAAATAATGAAAAAAAATTATCACTCAGGAAGATCTTTCGATAACAATGTTTATTCGCATGAACATGTATTGAATAAGCATATGATCAATATAATAAAATTCTCAATAATAGAATTTAATATTGAATATGATATAGAATATGATATGTGTAATAAGCCTCATCAGATTTACAATGCTAAATATAGTTGGTAAACGGCTAGAATCCTATATAAAAATCAATAACTCAATAATGATAATTTCGAAAGAAATGGTTCGCATCAAAACTGATTGGAAAATGTATTGTGGTTGTGTAGCATATGATTTTACACTCATTTCTTTTCCAAAATTTTTCAATTAAAATTTTGACTTTGACAATATATAAAAAAATTTTCATTGTATTAAAGTCTTGATTATGAGATTGTTTTTATTGATAAGCATGGTAAGGTCATCATATGAACATGATGAAAATGATACAGTCATTCAATACATTCAATCATCATTCAACAACACAAAAGACATGATTAAACTTTACGAGTATGTTGAAGACAACATATATGAACATGGAAACAAAACTAATGGATACATCAGTACATCAATGCTACCATTTCCAATGGATATCATTGATATTCAAAAATGGAATGAACTTATCGATCATTGCGATGAAAATTATATTCCAATGCTTAAGTTTTGTATGAATAAAGGGCATATACCATATCTTTATGATTATGATAACTATGGTTCAGAGGGATACAAGTATGGCCAACCAAAAATTGTTAAAGGATTTGTTGATATTACAAAAGACAGGTACAAAAATAAAATGATATCAGATAGAATATTATTTGAACGTGATTTTGAGCCAATACTTGATCATTACTCAAATACTAAACCATATAGAATTCCTTCCTCATTCATTCATTCTTTGAATAAATGGAGTAAAATAGCCATTAACAAAGAGTATAACGAGCAGGAATATATTGACTATTTCATTTCGAACGATTTTCCTCTAAATCGCTTGAGAACTTGTTTAGTAGATTTAATCAAAGATTTACCTAAATTATATAGTCGCCAAATAGATGAAAAAGAAAATAACGAACGTTTGATTGATTACAACTATTTATTGCAAAAACATTGCGCAAAGTTGATTAAAATGTGTGAGCAATACTTGGAACAACAGGCTAAAAACCTTAAGGAATCTTTAACACTATAAGCGCTAATCCAAATGAATTATATTTGAGTAAAAAATTGTTTATGGTTGCATTTTCCCACCTGTTTTTTATAATCTCAAACTTGCGTAGTAGACTTTAGTGTAAAATAATCTCAACACCATGCTTATGTTTGGCTTGCTGTATCATATCTGCAAAAGATAAGAGTTTGCGTATCTTTTGGATAAAAATTGAGAAGATAGATGTCAGAAAATGGTAAGCGCCTTTAATAATAAAATTAGACAAGCATAGTCGGTCTTTTGCAATGCAGTTTATTAATGGTGTACTTACCACTTTCTGACATTCTCTCAATTTTTTTTCCCCACCCAAGCTTTATACCCCAATTTTCTAAGGTAAAGAGTTAATAGTTTCGGTTGGGAAAAAGTTATTAAAAATCATTATATCATTCCTAATATAGATGTTATACTTTTTTTGTTATTGCAATAAAGATCAAAATTTTAATTGAGAGCGCGTCAAAAAGTGGTAAGTGCACCCTTAATTCAATTAAAATTTTGACTTTGACAATATATAAAAAAATTTTCATTGTATTAAAGTCTTGATTATGAGATTGTTTTTATTGATAAGCATGGTAAGGTCATCATATGAACATGATGAAAATGATACAGTCATTCAATACATTCAATCATCATTCAACAACACAAAAGACATGATTAAACTTTACGAGTATGTTGAAGACAACATATATGAACATGGAAACAAAACTAATGGATACATCAGTACATCAATGCTACCATTTCCAATGGATATCATTGATATTCAAAAATGGAATAAATTATACAGTTATTGTGATATAGATTATGTAGCATTGGTGAAATTTTGTATGGACAAAGGTCACATTCCTTATTTATTTGGCTCAGATAGCTCTACTTATTATCCGAGAACAATTTTAAGACAACCAAAGATAAATAATGGTTTGGTTGATTTCGGACGTGATGAAAAACATGAAAAAATGTGTAATGACTATATGATATTCGAACACCAAAGAAAACCAGAACTTGAATCATGTGATAGTCGGCAATACTTCGATAGATTACCAACATGGGGTAAAATTGCAATTTCAAAACCATATAATGAACAAGAATATATTGATTACTTCGTTTCGAATGATTTTCCTCTTAATCGCTTAAGAAATACGTTAAAACTATTAGTCAAGAATTCGCTTGAGTTACATCGTCGTCAAATAGATGAGAAAGAAAACACTGAACGTCTGCTTAAGTATAATCATTTACTCCAAAAATATTGTTCAATTTTGATTCAACGCTGTGAACAATACCTAGAAAAGCAGGCGAAAAGCCAAAAAGTTCCAATATCTTTATAAAAATGGAGTTTGACGCAGCAAAAAATTAAAATATTGAAATAATTTTTATCTTTTGTTTTCTATTGATTTAAAGATATTGTTTCTACCTCATACTTTACAATAGGTTCTAATAACATATGATAATTACTTATGTTGCATTTAAACTTATGAGGATGAAGAACTTATGCGATTAAAAATATTTCCTCGAATCACATAAAATTGAAATAAAATTGAGTTGTTATACGGAAATATTTTTAAAATTATCGTTTACAGGCGTAATCATACACCCATAATTAACCCTTAGAACCGCAAATACGATTTCAAGCTGAAAAACCTATTCTTCATACTATTTAAGAGATATTATGTTAATGAAATAATTAACGATTAAGTTCGAAATGTCAGAAAAAATTCATTTAAATTATGATTCGGCAAAAAAATCACATGCCCATCATAGTTTCCACAGAAAAGACAAACACGGTTTTACCTTCCCAGTTCAAGTATTCATACGTGCATTGGTTAGGAAATCTGCTTGGAGTTTTTGCATATAAAGAGTTTGGATTTCTTAAATACTTTGCGGCTGGCACAGAAGAAGGGCCTATTGTGATATTTGGCGATACTGGAAAAGAATTGCACCAAGTTGCATTGCTTTGCGGTCACACAAGAACAATTACAGGAATAACAACGTCTTTACATCCAGATACTTTCACATCTGTGTCGTACGATGGTGTTATATGTGGTTGGTCAATGTGTGACGGTATATGTCTTTACTCATTTCAAGCAAATGTAAAACCCGGATATCTCAAAGCAATTAATTCGACGACAAATGTAGATTTACTTTATTTATGGAGTTTAGGTGGTAGTTTTTATACTCTAAATGTAAAAACTGGCGAAACGCAAATGATTGTTCAATCTTTCGGAATCACATCATTATATCCTACTTTAGGTGAAACAGTTTTATACACTACATATAATTCCATATGTTCTTATAATATAAATACCAAAGAAAAGATCACAAAAAGATTTGAGCCATCTCTTGACAAAAGACAATGGGCTTGTGAAAATGGCTACGTGTCAATTAAAGGTAATCGAATAAGGATATATAATACGTCATACATCTTCATGTTTTCCATTACGGTCAACGAATTACAAGAAAATGAGCCGATTTTAAAAGTCTACTGGCGCTCGCTAAAAACGATACAGATCATAACTTACTTAGGAACGCAGATTATTATAAAGTTAAACGCTCAAGATGCAGAATATTCGATTACTAAGACTCCATCACCGCATTACTTTACGGCAGTATCATTTACTAACAGAGAACAATTTCTAGGAGTTGTTTGTGATAATTCTATTTACGTTCAAGACCAAAATGGCGAAAGAATTTTTGTTGGCGACAATAACAACAGAAACTATCATCTTTCTTCCGGAGATTATCAGCATTACTACGCATCAGATCATACGAACTACATTACTTACTATAAACTGAATGATGCGAAATCAAGATATAATCATGAACATTCAAGAGTTACTTGCTTGTATTCCATACAGTACAGAAATACAGAATACTTAATTACGGGTTCAATTAACGGAACTGTCACAGTTTACACTAAAAATTCCGAAGAACCTTTATTTCAATACCCAGCGTTATCTTGTCCTGTCATTGGCCTTGTTCAAACGCCTTTCGTAATAAACGGAAGCCCCAGAATCCTAGCGATTGCAGAAGATGGCTCATCTTGCCTTTTCAACATGTCAGATATCAGAATACACTATCTAGGTAATCATTTCAGACCTCGTAATGTATATGTCTACGAATCAATGGGTCTTCTTTTCTTCCAATATCAAGGTGGAAATATTTTAATGTACAATCTTGATACTCCCGATGCTGTCGCAGTCCTTTCGGTCGTCCCACCTAAAGCCAAGCTGATTTGGTCGTATTCCATCAGAAAAATCGATCAATCTCTTACATCTGTTGGAACAGTGACGATTGGAGGCAAAGGAATCGCTTTTGATACTCACAACTTCAGTGAATTGAAGTCATTAAGCTCTGATGATGAATTATTCAAAAACGATTGCCTCAAATTCATCAAATTATGCGATGAAACATCAAAATCTTTTGATGACCAACTTGTTTTTATCGGTGCCGACCAAAATCCAACATTTTATTACAAGAATTTCGCAATTCGAGGAGAAATCCTTTATATGGCATCTCCATACGTGATCGTCAATCACTGGGTTGTTTGTAACATGATTTCTACTATATGTGGAGTCAATAAAGCCAACCAAAACCGAAAATTATGCGTAGAATGTCTTCCTATGCTTTTGGAGATGCTTTTCTATGAGCATCCCATCATCCAAAATATTGTTTCCCCATTAATTACAAGTATTACCCAGATAATCCAATCAATGGACTGCCAACAGATGATTTCGACTTTTATCAGTGAAGAAAGCATTGACAAACTCTCCAATAGCAATAAGTTCTTGACAGCAATCACTATATGTGTAAATGAGAACTTAGTTCCAACGTATTGGGTCAAACCTTTGTATAATTTCCTGAAAAACTCTACTACTGCGACCAATGACGTTTCCCATGTAGCTCTTAATATCCTAGCTCATGGAATAAAGGCATGGATGAAAGAAAACCCTCATGTTGAAGTTTATCAGTTCCTTATTAACTCTTTGGAACGATATAACACCAGTTCCTATCTGACAACTCTTTCGAAATCAGCTCATGAAGACTACCCATCATTCTTGCAAGCGTTCAAAACGTATTTCTTCTCAAAAATGGAAGATGAACCTGCAAAAATGGTCGCTGTTAATCTTCTAACCAACTCAATGCTTGACAACAATCTAGCTTATCTTGCAACAATCACTTTATCGCGTTTAATTGTTGATTTTGGCCTAAATGATATGAAATCACATCTAGAACTGCATAAAAGCATCATGAAAGCGATAGATTATAACGATAATTATATCATTATAGGTACTTATGAAGGAGATATTATAGGATTCAGCAAAAATAAGCAACTTTTCGAAATTCCATTATTTAAGAATCCGATTTCTTATGTTTCATTATCTCCTTCAGGTGACATTTGCGTTGTTGCCTGCAGCAAATCGAAAGATTACATTGCTTTGAGTATTGGAGGCGGTGTAAAAGGTGGAATCTTTAAAGACAAGCATAAGTTGCTTAAAGCTGGTAAAATTTCAGGTGAAGGACAGAATGTGAAAGTATCATGGAAAGAAAATAATTTATTTGATATAGAATTTGTATAATTTGTAAAATATTGTTTGTTTATTCTTTTCGAAATTAATAATTTTTAGACAGTAATTGATTTTGGTGATTAATCAATTTCAAAATCTCAGATTTGGAGTATTAATTTAGATGGAAAATCGTCAGAACATTAGTTTTTATCGTCCTATTAATAGAAAAATACCAAAAACATGTAAATCGGAAATCGAAAATGTAAACTAATTTGATTTTCGCAATTTCTCGCAAATCTTCCTCAGCAAATGAATAAGCACTTATTAGTCCAGTATATATGAAAAAAAAAAAAAAAAAAAAAGGTAGTGGGGCTTCCAGGGGCTGCGCCCCTTCTAGCCCTGAAGATGTTTAGTATAAATGAAGTTCTTATATACGGGTCTTCCAGGAGCTTTTCACAAATTATATATGTTTTCATGTTTTGTCACTTTTCTGTCACTTTTCAGGAAAAAACATTTTTATTATTATATATAAATGAATTTTACAAAACCGCCGTTACCGTTCTTTGGAAATAAGAGTAAATGTAAAGAAAAAAAAAGGTAGTGGGGCTTCCAGGGGCTGCGCCCCTTCTAGCCCTGAAGTTTATTTTGGAGGGGCTCCAGGCACTTCGTGCCCTCTAGCCCCGAAGATGTTTAGTATAAATGAAGTTCTTATATACGGGTCTTCCAGGAGCTTTTCACAAATTATATATGTTTTCATGTTTTGTCACTTTTCTGTCACTTTTCAGGAAAAAACATTTTTATTATTATATATAAATGAATTTTACAAAACCACCGTTACCGTTCTTTGGAAATAAGAGTAAATGTAAAGATATTATATTGAGAGAACTTAAGAAACTACCGAATGGTCTAACATTTGTAGATTTGTTCGGTGGAAGTTTCTATATATCCCATTTGTGCCATACAATATTCCCAGACTCAAAGATTATATGCAATGACTTCGACAACTATATGGACCGTCTCAAACATATACCAGACACAAACAATATATTGAAAGAGTTAAAAGAAAAGATACCTATAGGTAAGATGGAACGTATACCATTAGATAACAAAAATATTGTGAGAGAGGTTTTGAAAAAAGCAGAATATATAGACTGGGATAGTATATCTGCTAGACTATTATATAGTGGTTCTATAAGAGTTCATGACATTGAAACACTTATGTCAAATGTTTTATATCTTAACTATACAAATGTTTTCAAAGAGGACATAGAAAAATATATTGAGGGTATAGAGTTTGTGAGATGTCGTTGGACAGAGTTGTATGAAAAATATAAAAACAAGGAAAATGTTTTCTTTATAGTGGACCCGCCGTTCTATAACACATGCGATTTTCAATACCAAGTAGACTGGACTTTGAGAGACTCTTTAGAAACTTTAGACGTTTTACATAACTGTCCATGCTTTTACTTTACATCCGATAAAAGTGGTTTGGAAAACCGTTATGAGATGGTTAGAGGACATACATGACTATGAGTTTAGATATGACAAGATAGAATATGAGAGAGGTCCTATAAACCGGAGAAAGTGTCATAACAAAGAAATTTTACTAGTAAGTAAATGTGGTTTGAAATAGGACTACTTGTTTTAGGTTTTTTCCATTGTGTCATTTATTTATTTGACGTGGCAGAAAAGTACAGAGAATATGAAGATGAACCAATGTCTGCAAATGTTCAGCATATGTACTCGTAAGAGATATTTTTATCTAATATTAAATGGACGCACAGAACTTAGCGAATGCACAGCAACCTGGACAACCAAACCCAGAGAATATTCCAAATGAAGTTAGAATACAAACTGCAATGGCAAACTATGGTCAAGTGCCAACAGATGTACAAATGCAAACTGCCATGTCAAATGACGCTGCGTTAGGTTTGCCACCATGGTATGCAAATATGAGATGGAAAGAGTTTTATACAAACCCTGAAGTGGGATATAAACAACTCTATGCAGATGACGCGAACACAGGAGTTGACCCAGAATATGTTTTCTACCAGAGGAGAAACAGAATGTATGAGCTCCAGTTAAAGAATGCTATGGAACTCAACAGGAAACGTAAGAGACTAGGCGGACATTAGATTTTTACATATAGTAAAATGGGTTTCTTCAGTAAGATAGGAAACTTCTTTCGAAATGTTGGAAGAGGTATATGGAATGGAATAAAATCTGTCGGAAGAGGAGTATGGAACGGTGTCAAAAATATTGGCAAAAGAGTAGGTCAGTTTGTTGGTATTATACCTAAAGACCCTGAACCAGAAGAACAAGCTCCTGTTATACAACAGCCTGAACCTGCACCACAGTCAAGTTGGCAACCAAATCCAACACCTCAACCGTATTAAAAAATTATATTTTTACCGTTCGATAGTAGTTGTATATGAAACTAAGTTCTAAGTAAAACGCATGTATAATGGAATTATTCTCTTTCTTCCATCTGTTGTAAACCATACTTGAAAGTCTGAAATACTTCCACTTGGTGGTTCATATAGCTTTGTAGGTTTTTCGTAAAAGTCATTTGCCAAGCATAAGAAAGAGTTTTGTGCACCAGAAAATGAAGCATGAACTATAATAGCATCTGAGTCGAAAACATTTTCATATGTTCCATTAGGGTTTTCGACTTCATAAAAGTCCGGGTGTACTGGATATGCTGCAGGCTGATTTAACATCCTCAAAAATCTATACCATGCCAAGTTGTTATATTTTGTAGAAATATAAACGTTTTCTCCAAGGTCTTCTATTCTATTGATTTTAACAGTTGCATTTTTCCTGTCATATATAATATCGAGATGGTACTCTCCTTCGTCAATGTTGTACTGTTTTGCATATTCGAGATAGATATCGTTTATTTTTTCTTGAAAAGCTTGAAGAGTTGTTTCTAAGTTTACAAGCAAATTCACTTGTAAAAGTTTTCCCTGTTCAAATTTCTCATACATACGTTTTCTTTGTTATAGTATCGAACTTCAAAACCGACTGTAAATGGGAAACCATGTATGGCTTCTGAAATGAACTTCATTCTACGAAAGCCAATAGCTTTTGTGACGGATGGGTCTCTTAACCATCTTAACGGGTAGTCAAAACGATAGCCTTCATGCTTTACGGTCTCTGTCTCAAACTTTTGACCTACATTGGTAAAAAGTTCATCTAATGGTTTAGTTGTAGCAACTCTAGAATTTTCTTTTTCTATTGAAAGCATATTTTATCTATAATAAAAATGTCAAATGAAACAGCGTCTATGAGAGAAATACAACACAACCGACAACTCATTATGCAAGCTCTAAATAAGAACACAACAAACTTTTCAAACTATTCTAAGATATCTGAGTCATTGAAAGAAGGAAACTTAAAACTGACATTAAACCCAATGACAGATGAGTTTCTGTTTCAAGACAATAAGAACCATACTGTCTGTATAAATCCAACAAAAGGAACTTTAAACGAGAAACCTATAAATGAACTTCTTTTGAAAGCAGATGTTGACAACAAAGCTGACAAAGAATATGTAGACGATGCAATAGCAAAAGAAGAAGAAAGAGCTAACAATGCTTATGCAACAAAAGAACATACTCATCCTGAACTAGCAGACAAAACATATGTTGACAATAAAATGTCAAGTGAAGTGACAAGAGCTGAAAACGAATATTCTAAAAAGACTCATACACATACCATTGCAAATATAACAAACTTACAAGAAACCTTAAACAGGAAAAGTGACGTTGGACATACACATACCATTGCAAATATTGCAAACTTACAAGAAACCTTAAACAGGAAAAGTGACGTTGGACATACACATACCATTGCAAATATTGCAAACTTACAAGAAACCTTAAACAGGAAAAGTGCCGTTGGACATACACATACATCTTCTGAAATAACAGACTTAAACGTTAGCCTTGAAAAGAAAGCAGATAAGACTCATACACATACAAGTTTTACAACTGTTGGTATAGAAAATATTGAAGGAACGGTTGAAGAACCTGATGGGGATGTATTATATTGGAAACCTCCTAACTTTCCACAAGGTTTAACATCGGATGACGACATAACGACGATGAAAAACATTAGATGTAAAGATGTTTATGTCATGAAGGATGAACATAATATTAAATTCACTGCTCAAGATTTATATGACAAGAAAGCAGACAAAAAAGAGCTTCAAACATTAAAACAGAAAATACTTCAAACATTATATCCTATAGGCTCTATTTATACGTCAATGAACTCTACCAGACCAGAAGTAGTACTTGGTTTTGGAACTTGACTCAAATAGTCGACAGGTTTTTGTATTGTGCAAACTCTTCAAAGGAAACAGGTGGAAGTAAAACGATTTCAGGTGAAAACTTACCTGCGCACAGTCACTACATAGATTTAAGACATCTCAAGCAGGTTGGCATAAGCATAAATTTTGGATTGGTCAGCAATGAAAAAAGGTAAAGGATATGATGTGAAAGACGACGTTCAGTTTGCTATAAATTGTTTCTGGGTAACACTCAGAGGAGGAAACCATACACATCGCGTTTCGGGATATACGCAAACAACGGGACAAAGTAAAGACTACATGCCACCTTACATGACAGTTTACGCATGGTTATAGAAATGCTTAGTCGTCATGTTCCACTTCTTTAGCATATTCGTCAGGGTGTCTGTATATTTTTAGAACTGTCTTTGAAAGTATACCACCTTGAACTTTGACAAGTTTGAAACGAGGTCTGACAATAGTAGTTTTATCTTCTGCTTGCAGTCTGTACATTTTGCCATGTTTGCCTAAAACTTCATAATATTCTCTTGTATACTTTCTTCTATTTTTACGAACACGAATGTGAGTACCTGTCGGGTTCCCATTGTTGTCATAGTCAATAGTATTTTCATATGGGTCGCGTTTAGGTATTTCTATTTTTACTTTGTCACCTTTCTGAAGTTTGAAGCCCGGCATTCTTTCTTGTTTGTCTCTTTTGACTAAATTATTAAATATATAGTCTTTCTCTAAGTCAGGGTTGTTTTTCATTTCTTCGGGGAGTGGTTTCCCAAACCTTTTTGTTTACGGCTATTGTAAATATTTAAAACTTGTCTCATCTTTGCCATGGAGAAGTGTCTATATTTGTCGTCATATGACATTTCATTTGCTTCACCACCTTGTGGTTGGTTTAAGTCTCTTAACATTTTTATACAACCGTCAATGACACCAAGAGCAGAATGGTTTTGGTCGACAATGAAATATTGGTTTACATTTTTTGAACGCAGATAGTTTTTTACATCATCTGATTTGAAAGAACTTTCACAGTCAGATGTCAGTTTTGTTGGATGGTATTTGTCAACGAATATTGTCAAAGCTGCTAAGATATCTAAAATATTTTTGGACTGTAATGGTATGGCTTCACAGTATCTTGTGTTTTGACCGACAAATATTAGCCAGTATGGAGGTCCATCTGTTCTAACTCTCGGAATGTTTTCCAAGATATCCATAAACCAAGCATTTGGTGTTGAACTAAAGATTTTTACCATGAGTGCTTTCTTTGTCGCTTTAGAAACATAGGGGTCCTTGTTTGGATTCGTCATTTTTTAACCCATAAGAAATGGGTTTATTTGGCGCGTTAGCAGGAGTTGCATCCAGATTTTTGCCCGCAGTGGGAACAATAGCCAGAGGTGTATTTGGAGTTGGAAGGAAGATTTTGAGTACATTAGGTATACTTAAAGAGAAAGCACAACCTATTATACAAACTGTACAGAAAGGTTGGGATGTAGCACGAGATGCAACAAATCTTATTCCAAATCCTGAAACAAGAGGAAAAGTTCAAGGATGGATGGACAATGTAGGAAGACAAGCAGGAAACTATTATAACAAAGCAAATGACTACTATAACCAAGCAGGACACTATATGGACCAAGGTGAAAGATTCTTTAACAGAGGATATAACCATGCACAACAGTGGGTAAACAATAACCAACCTCAACCGCCTCAAACGTGGGGAATGTAAAGTTTTTTACTGAGATGAAATGAACAATACAGCATTGAGACAAATGGGTTCAAGATGGATTTGTCGACTTCCAGCAGTTACACAACGTGTTTGTCAAGTTCTTCCTATACCTCAGGAAGTTTTAGACCGACTTAAAAAACCTAAACAACCAGTTGAAAACAAACCAAACTAAAATTTTTTACTGAGATGAAATGACCGAAGAAGTTGAAACGGTAGATTTGACACCACAAACAAAAAGTTCAGAACCATTGTCAAAACCTGTCAAAGAACTTACAGATGAAGAGAAAAATTCAATAATAGAAAGTGCCAGGTCTGGAAATACAAACCCTAACTACAAAGTCACTTTTCATAAAAATGGAACGGCTAGTATCTCAAAAAAGAAACAGACTCTCACAAATAAAATATTGAAGTCTGAAGGAGCTTTCGAGACAACAGATGGAAAAGTTTACTTCACTGACCAACAGTTCATTATAGAACATCTCATTGACTTAGAGTCGAAATATTCTAAACTTTACAACAAACACAAAAAGTTGAAAGGAAAACAAAAACAAATGGCATATGATATTTATGAAGATGTTGACGACACAACTATTCCTGCAAGTGAAGTAAAGTCAGCGGAACCGAAAAGTGACGAAAAACCAATAGAAGAAGAAAAACCAAAAACCGAAGATAAACCAAAACCAAAGTTTAGTTTGGAAACTAAACCAAGTCAACCTTCATTAGCTGGTATGGGTTGGCGTCAAAGACTTATGGTAGCGGGCGGTTATGTTAAGTAAATAAAAAAAATATTTTTTTATTTTATTTGAAATGTACGCTGAGTTTGTTGGAGAAGACCGTTAGACAACATGTTTGTTAGATGAGAAATATGAAATGGCATACCATTTTAAAACAATATATTTTTAAAAAAATATTTTTTTATTTTATTTGAAATGTACGCTGAGTTTGTTGGAGAAGACCGTTGGGAAACTTGTTTGTTAGATGAGAAATATGAAATTCACTGTTGTGAGTCATTTGAAGTCAGAAACAAAAAGACAAAAAGAGTTTTAAGCGAATGGGAGCGAAATAACGGATATGCTATTATGAATATGGGTAGAAAACACTATTTTAAACATATTGTCATTGCAACTCATTTTATACTGAATCCTAACAATTTACCTTTTGTAGACCATATAAACCGTATAAGAAACGACAATAGACTTGAAAACTTACGTTGGGTCACTCGTTCTGAAAACAATAAGAACAAAGGCAAATTTGGAGATATTGTATTCGAATTTGTCGACGAACTAGAAGATGAAACAATTGAAATTACAGACTATGGCGAGCATACGTTTGAGTTTTACTACTATAGCGAAGAACAAGACTCTTTCTACTTTTATACCGGCGTAAACTATAGGAAATTACAAGTATATTTTACTAAGGCGGGCTATGCTTATGTAAACACTAGAGATACAGATGGAAAACACGTTCAAATACTTCTTAACAAATTCAAGAAGCTATATGGCATACCATTTTAAACCATATATTTTTACATATATTAAATGCTTCAGGTTGAAAAACAAAGAACAAAAGTAGCAGATACAAAACCGTTAGACTATATCTTTACAAATGCTGGTAGAAATATTTCAGATGAAGAAATTTCATCCCGAGCTTACAGGTTTGACTATCCAATTCGTTGGCTTCAAAGTCCTTCAGATGCAAAGGCAATAGGATTTAGAAGAGTTTTGTTTTCAAATAGAACTAACGCATTTATGTTCGCAGTATATTTTCATGGTCAGTATAAAGGTTCTGATGGTCTAATAGAAAAATTTGACGAAATGAGGATCTTTACAGTTCGTTCAGACGAAAGTCTTGAGAAAACTCTAAATGACTTTCAAACTCAGATAAACAAATACTATTGGGAATTTCAAGAAAAATACGACTCTTTACTAAACGGAACGTACTATCTGAAACTAGAATATGACAAGATGAACTCCACCGTTTCATTTCAAAAGATTGAAATTAACCCTCCAAGAGATACAGAGTTTTTATTTTGGAAAGTAGACAAACGTTCTTGGGCACAATTTCTTCGGTTACTAAACCAGAACGAACCATTACCACCAGATGGTCCATTTCAATTTATACTTCCACCAGCAGATTTGACAGTTTATAGAAATGTGTTTGACCCTCAAAATGTTATGTGTCATGCAAGTTTCAGTTCAAGCAACAATAGTTTTCTGTGTATCGGTAAGGACTTTTATGACTTTGCTTCTAAATTCTACGAACCACCTAGTAACAGTTTCTCTGACTTTCAAGTTTGGTTCACAACAAATGGTGTGCAACATATTATTCCATTGTACTATGACTTTTATCTCGAATTGTCTTTCATATATAACTACGGAAAAGTGCTGAAAAAGTATTGAAAAATAAAGTTTAGGTGGAGCCAGGTCCCTCGGTCCCTCGGTCCCTCGGTCATTTTAACTTCTCTGAAAAAGTGTGACAACATGACATTTTGACAACAACACAGGAAATAAACTTCTTCGTAAATGTTTTGTCATGATTTCTTCGTAAATGTTTTGTCAAGACTTCTTCATCGTAATGAGCGTAAAGGACCCAAAAATATAATTTAGGGTAGAAGGTTAGATCTAACCTCTTTTCTCACCTGTTTTCTCACCTGTTGAATTTTCATGACTTCTTCATCGTAAATGTTTTGTCAAGGTTTCATCCTAAATGTTTTGTCATGACTTCTTCATCGTAAATGTTTTGTCAAACATGAACGTAAATGTTTTGTCAAGACTTCTTCATCGTAATGAGCGTAAAGGACCCAAAAATATAATTTAGGGTAGAAGGTTAGATCTAACCTCTTTTCTCACCTGTTTTCTCACCTGTTGAATTTTCATGACTTCTTCATCGTAAATGTTTTGTCAAGGTTTCATCCTAAATGTTTTGTCATGACTTCTTCATCGTAAATGTTTTGTCATGACTTCTTCGTAAATGTTTTGTCAAGACTTCTTCATCGTAATGAGCGTAAAGGACCCAAAAATATAATTTAGGGTAGAAGGTTAGATCTAACCTGTTTTCTAACCTCATTTCTACCCTCTTGAATTTGTCATGACTTCTTCGTAAATGTTTTGTCATGACTTCTTCGTAAATGTTTTGTCATGACTTCTTCGTAAATGTTTTGTCAAGACTTCTTCATCGTAATGAGCGTAAAGGACCCAAAAATATAATTTAGGGTAGAAGGTTAGATCTAACCTGTTTTCTAACCTCTTTTCTACCCTCTTGAATTTTCATGAATTTTCCCGAAATAAAAAATAAAGTTAGTTTTATTTTTTTATTTTTTTTTATTTTGTATAAAAGAACAGAAATGTCAGTCGAAGCAACAACAATTCAAACAACAGCACCAAACTCGTTAGTCATGAATCCAACATCTATGTTAGTAGAAATGAAAAGCTTCATTCCTTCTTCATATACTTTTGAAACAGAAATCCAGAAGATAAAGCAGGAACTTTTAACAAGTACTTTGGACTGTTGTGCGAAAGATGAACAAAATGAACAGTATCTTTACGACATGCAGGACATTATTGACCATTTACCCAAATTGCCTGAAATCCAACAACAAAAGCTCACTATTCCTGAATTCGACGAAATTGAAGTCAAAGCAACTGACTCAGTAGAAATAAAGAAGTTCATACGAAAGGTAAACTATGAGTTTCTTGGATTTCATTGCAACCACAAAGTCATGGACAAAGATTGCGACATGGTATATAAGAACATCTCTGACATATATAAATCTGAAGAATTTAAGACCTACGACAACTTTGTTTCGTTAGTTGCTGAATGTGTATGGCAGATAAGAGATAAAGATAGAAGAGGTAAAATATGGAACAAACAAATAAAACCAGCAGCTTTTGAGTTAAAGAAAACCATTGACGCCTTAGTTGTTTTAGCAGGTAAGGTTTCAGAATATAACGCAAAAATGAACCCGCAATGTTCAAAATGTAAGGCAGCAATGAGGAGATATAACTACTCCGTCAAAGAGATAGAAAGAATGAGAAACGACTATGCAGATTTAAAGAAAGAAGCAGAAAAGCCAGCAGAAGATAAAATGGACATGTTAGAATTTCTGAACAAAAACTATCCAACTGCTGACGATTTCCTTCTATCTGACGTCAAGAAGAAATATAAAGAGACTTTCGGCATAGTTAAAACATTCGATATCCTCAGCGAAGAAATAGAAGCTACAAAACTGTTTAGAGTCTCACGAATTCATAACGTTTACCATGTAAAACGCTTATAAAATAACTGGGGTAGAAAAGAGGTTAGAAAACAGGTTAGATCTAACCTTCTACCCTAAAATATATTTTTGCTGAAAAATGACCAAAAATCATGAGTTTTGTGTGTTTTAGACCATGTTAGAAAACAGGTGAGAAAACAGGTTAGAAAACAGGTTAGATCTCACCTTCTACCCTAAAATATATTTTTGCTGAAAAATGACCAAAAATCATGAGTTTTGTGTGTTTTAGACCATGTTAGAAAACAGGTTAGAAAACAGGTTAGATCTAACCTTCTACCCGACATTCTCGTCAAATGAAAAAAATGAAATAAAACTAACTTTATTTTTTATTTCGGGAAAATTCATGAAAATTCAAGAGGTGAAAAAACAGGTGAAAAAAGAGGTGAGATCGCACCTCTTCACCTAAAATATATTTTTGCCGAGTAAAATGACCAAATTTCATGATATAACTGTTATTTTTTGACGAAGAGAACTTTGACACTTCGTCAAAAAAATCCCTGAAATCGTGAAAAAATGACCAAATTTCATTATATAACTGTATTTTTTGACGAAGAGAACTTTAACACTTCGTCAAAAAAATCCCTGAAATCGTGAAAAAATGACCAAATTTCATTATATAACTGTATTTTTTGACGAAGAGAACTTTAACACTTCGTCAAAAAAATCCCTGAAATCGTGAAAAAATGACCAAATTTCATTATATAACTGTATTTTTTGACGAAGAGAACTTTAACACTTCGTCAAAAAAATCCCTGAAATCGTGAAAAAATGACCAAATTTCATTATATAACTGTATTTTTTGACGAAGAGAACTTTAACACTTCGTCAAAAAAATCCCTGAAATCGTGAAAAAATGACCAAATTTCATTATATAACTGTATTTTTTGACGAAGAGAACTTTAACACTTCGTCAAAAAAATCCCTGAAATCGTGAAAAAATGACCAAATTTCATTATATAACTGTATTTTTTGACGAAGAGAACTTTAACACTTCGTCAAAAAAATCCCTGAAATCGTGAAAAAATGACCAAATTTCATTATATAACTGTATTTTTTGACGAAGAGAACTTTAACACTTCGTCAAAAAAATCCCTGAAATCATATCTTTTATACAAAATAAAAAAATAACGTTAGTTTTATTTTTTTTTTATTTTTTTATCTTGTATGTAAGAACAGAAAATGACAAACACTGAGTTTGAAACAGTTAAAAAGATAGACAATGACACCAAAGTGGTTAGAATAGGTGATTTAAACGTAAGATACTCAAAGAAATACAACAAATATTCTTTGTCAGACATTCTAACACTATCTGGAAAGAAAACATCCCACGACTGGGTTAGAACTGCTTCTACTCAGAAAATTTTGACAAGAAATCCTGAGCTTATGATATCGGTAAGATTCTATGGAACTGCAGCATATCTCATCGACAAAAGTCTTATACCAATAGTTTTGTTATGGTTAGACCCAGTTGTTGGATATAACTTCATAACATATGGTTCATTCGATACGGAACGTTGCAGTGAAGGCTTACTTTACATCGTTCAGAAACCGAAGGACTTCAATACAAAGAGATATAAGATAGGAAGAACATATAATATAACTCAAAGATATGACAGTACAGTCAATAGAGTTAAGGTTGTGTTTGTTAACGATATGAGAGCTGCTGAAACAGAACTACTTGAAAAGTTTGAGAAAATGTATGGTGCTCCCATAAAAGGTAAAGAAACGTTTGAAGTAGATGAGATAGATAGTGCTATAAAATTATTTGACGAAGTTGCTGAAAAATACATGTAAAGCGTTTATTTTTGGTCTTTTGTGAAAATAAAAAAATAACGCTAGTTTTTTATAAAATATTTTTTTTATTTTGTATGTAAAGACAGAAATGACAACAACAGAGAACACAACACCTGCTATCGTTCATGAAGCCATAAATGAAGAATACGAGTGGGTTCAGTATAACAAACAACTCCGTCTCATTCGTTCGGTCAAAGATGACATGTACCAAATGCAAAGTATTTTGACAGCATGTTTTGCTCCAGACACTAAGAAACCACAAGACTGGTTTGAATTAAATAGCACTCATGAACTTTTGAGTGAGTTCGAACATGTAGAACTTAAAAAGATGTACCAAGACAGACAAAACTTACCATCATATCTAAAAGGTATATATGTTCATAAGTTCCTAGTTAGTTCAATAGCAATGTGGGCTTCTCCTCGTTATGCATGGTATATTTACAGACTTCTTGACGAAGTTGCTGAAAAATACATGTAAAGCGTTTATTTTTGGTCTTTTGTGAAAGTAAGAAAATAACGCTAATTTTTTATAAAATATTTTTTTATTTTTGTATGTAAAGACAGATATGTCAACATCAGAGAACACAACACCTGCTATCGTTCATGAAGCCATAAATGAAGAATACGAGTACATACAATATAACAAACAGTTACGTCTCATTCGTTCAGTCAAAGACGATATGTACCAAATGCAAAGTATTTTGACAGCTCTTCGTTCTACAAAGCAAGCACATCATTGGTTTGAAAACCAACAGACAAAAGAACTTTTAGAAGAATTTCCTCATATGTTTGCGTTCCGCGGAAAACCGGGAACGAGATTCCGTACGAAAATCGTAAAAATTTGCCAAATAGTTTGAAAGGATATTATGTTCATAGACTTCTTGTAAATGCTGTTGCAATGTGGGCTTCGCCTCGTTACGCTTGTTATATTTTCATGATGTTAGATGAAATTCATAGACAAGAACGTGAAGAGATGGAAAAGAAACTTCAAGCAAAAGATGAAGTCATTGAAGCAAAAGACAAAAACATTCAGAAAAGAATACCACGTTCGGTACCAAAAGGAAAGGAAAAGAACTATAAGTATATGATTTATACTGAAGAGATGGAAAATGAAGAAGACAGAGATATGGTTATGTTGCATTTAGTCAGAAGAAACAACAAAAGCTTTTACGACCTTGCTAAGATTTACAAATCTAACAGAAATTGGTTCTATCGCGAAAACTTACCGATTTCAATGACCCCAAATGAAGATGTGAAACAAATAGTTCAAGATACTTTACCTCAAACACACTATGATATGAAAGGTTGTACAATACTTACATTCAAAGAAGATTTGCCGCTACTGAAAGAAAAAATAACAGAGTATTTTGACAACTTCAAAGAGGAAGAGTAAATGAACCATTTATTTTTCAAGCTTGACACCAAAGATGGCTCAGGTAGCTCTAGATGGTAAATTGTCTTGTCAAATCCTTCTGGCATTCCGAGTCCTTCCTTCCGACAGGAAGAACTCTTCCTTCCAACAGGAAAAAATTTTCCTTCCAACAGGAAAAAATTTTCCTTCCAACAGGAAAAAATTTTCCTTCCAACAGGAAAAATTTTTCCAGTTGTCCGTCCGTAAACCATTCAAATTTTCGAAAATTGAGAACTTTTTGGCCGACCTTCAGAAAAAGTTTTTCCTTCCAACAGGAAAAATTTTTCCTTCCAACAGGAAAAAATTTTCCTTCCGACAGGAAGAACTCTTCCTTCCGACAGGAAAAGTCCTTCCTTCCAACAGGAAAAGTCCTTCCTTCCGACAGGACACAAACGGATGAGTGACGTACCACCAACCGAGTCCATTCCAAAGCCAGAAGAACCGAAAGCTGCAGAACCACAACAGACTAAGACTAAACACTTACATTTTTTACGCTTGACTTTTTACAATTTGAACTTTGTTTGCGTAGATATGAATTCTGAAAGAAGTATGAGGGTCTTGTATGACTTTGTACTTCTCCCATAGTTCATATCTGTCAAACTTACCTGCCATGGACTCTTTCATAAGTTCCATGAAATCGTCTTCGGACAATCCGGGGAAAAGTACAATGTCAGTAAGTATTCTCTTTACATCCTTACTTAAACTCTTTGCTGTCTGTACACAAATGACAACAGAGATGTTAAAGTGTCTGAGCTTCTTAAGAATTCGACACATGTCTTGTTCTCTGTTCTTTAACAAAGGATGAGAGGCGAAATCATCTAAGATAAGAAGACATCTATGAGGGTATGTCTTCCAATCGTAAGATTGCAATTTCTTCGAAATGTATTCTATCTCTTTCTGTTTGTTTCTGAAGTGTTTCTTCTCTAATATTCTCTGCATTTCCTCATTTGGTCTTTAAACTTAGAATTTATATACTCATTTATAGCATTGTACTTCAAAACTCTTCTTTGGTACTTCTTTATCCAATCTAACAACTCAGAGTCTTTTATACATACTAACTTAGACTTTTTTATAATATCTTTGAACGAATTTACGGTTTGGTCAAATTGACCAGAAGTACTACAAATGACAACTAACTCATAGAATGGGTTCTTCTCATCTAGTTCTTGTTGTTGTGCAGCCATTTTAAGATAAGTGAAAGTCTTACCCGACCCAGGCGGTGCAATTAGACCTGTTATACCATTCTGAGCAAATAAGAACTTGTCATGTATGGTTTTATCTGAGCATTTTCCAATTTCCTCTTGTTCTTATTTAAAACATTCTCAAATTTTTTGTCAATGTCAGCAAACTTTTTTTCTAACATATTTTTAGAAAAATTAAAATTTTTATCTTTTTGAAAATGTCTAGCGATTTCGCTATCTATATTCGAGACAAGCTTTTCGACAGCAAAACATCTGTCGACCATAAAATCTTACATAGTGTAAACAAGAAAGGTGAATTTGTTCTAAAGTTCTGTTTCTGGAATATGACAAGAACCATAAAACATTAAGCAGAGCAGTCTTAAAATTTGTCAATGACAGACTTGTTGACAGAGATGACGCCGATTGGAAAGATGAAGTCCAACAAAAGTTCTTAGAATGCAAAGAAGACACATGCGCTGTTCTTGAAGATGAAATAGAAAACAGAATAGATGAGCTATTAAAGGACAAAGAACTTTTACAAAAAATGGTTCTGAGAAGTTTGACATAACTCCACCAGAAAAGAAGAAGAGAGAAAAGAAAGAAAAGAAAGTAGAAGA